GGCACTACACCAGAGCACCAGGGGTTTTCAAAGATCCGTGTCAGAGGTGATCGCACAATAGCTTAACATGAAGTTTTGCTCTTGTATATTGTGGGGGGTGGGAATAGGCATGTGGGGTGAGGGAGCATGTGAGTGTGTGTGGATATGTGGGAGGGTGTGGGGTGAGGGTGCCTGGGCTGTGTGAGGGGGTCTGCATGTGGGGGTCAGCATATATGGCAGTGCAAGGGGAGCGTGGGTGCATGTGTATGGTGGGGAGTGCGTGTGGGACTCGTTCCATGAACACATGCACCCACCCCCACCCACTCTGTCCCTGGTTGCCCACACACACCCCTGCACCCAGCCCCTGCATCTACAGCCAAACCTACCCATACACTCTGCCCCTAGCAGCAGGCACACTCACACCCAACACCAGACACCCACCCACCAACCCACCCCCACAAGCTCCGTGCCCCCGCTCCTGCAATGCAGCCGAGCCACATGGTGCCAGCAGGCAAGGAGTGCAATTGCTGGGGTGGGGTGGGGTGGGGCGGGCTGCGCTGATCAGTCCTGCTAAGGCTCCTCCTGGGTCCTACTGTCCCTGACTCTTACCAGCTTTGACAGGATCCAGGGCAAGTCAATAGTTTTAAAGCATAAGGGCTCCCTCTGCCTCTGGCTCCCTGCCTGAGGGGGCAGGGCCCGTGAAGCCAACTGCCGCCTGCCCTCTCCAGGGTGCATGTGCAGTTGGCCCCCAGCACTACGGACAGACAGAAATACTAAGCCTTTTATTACCTTAAAATTTATAAATCTTCCACATATAGAATCTAATTATTGGGGGGTTATCTGAAATTTGAAGTCACCTTGTTTCAGGTAGATATGGTACTTACGGAAGACCTCTTTTAGTGTCTCTGACAATTAGTCGGATCAGCTCCTGAGAAACTGTTACTTTCTCTAAATTGTGTGGATGGCAGGACAGAAATAATAGATTCAAACTCCAAACTAAAAATCAGTGACAATCATCTTGAAGACCTTGCTTGACTAGAAAACCTGAGAAGATGCTCATGAGAGAGGTTGGACAGAGCAACTAATCCACCATCCAATACCAAATACCTCTGGGATGTGATAAGTGAAATTGAAGAAGATATTTCCCATAAAGATTCACTCAAGTTAGTGGAAAGAGACCTCTTAGAATTTAAAAAAAAAAAAAAAAAATCGCCAATGACAACATCTTGGGAAGTTTCCAAGGCTTGGTGACATTGCTTTAGAAGTCAATTTAAAAAAAAATAATACATTCCTTGTAATACTACCAAAGACTAGGAAGTCCGATACAAAGAAAAACATCTTGCAATTAGAACAACTTACCTCAGAATTCTGTAATGATTCTTTCACTCTGGGGGACTATAAAAGAAAAAAAAATCTAGTATTATCATCAATCGTTTGACAAAAGCCTTATTGGCTAGCCACAAGCTATCGTGCATCCATGTGGACTCCACTAAATGCACATCAATGTGTCTGTGTTTTTACTTTCATCTACATAGTAAAATGCAAAACACCAATAAAAACACATCATTTGTCAGCATCCTAGTTGCGTTAGACTCCACAGAAACAGAGTCATCACTTGTTACTTATAGAGCAGATTTCTACACGGTAACATAAATAGAAACCATGACAGTTCTTTACTGGCAGATAAATCTACTATTAACAAAGACTACTCTGTTCAGATCCAGACTGAATTAAGTGCACTAGGATGAAAGTTTGCTTCAAGCAACTCCACCTCCTAAAAAGATATGCAAGGCAAATCAATTTGGAACTTCACTAGAAAACAAATCCCATTCTCTTCCTGATGTATAAAACCTTCCCTCCCAGGAATTAGTCTGTGTAAAACCTGCCTGCTTAAACACTGCCACGTACAAGCACAAAAGGATAAAAGTGTGTACATGTGCACAGGGTTGTATTTGGCAGCAAACAAAAAGAAATGCAAAACTCTAGAACTCTTGGTTCAGAGAAGATACATTTTATTAGACCAACTAAGAAATCGCAAAAAAAAAAAAAAGGTCTCTTTCTGCAAGCTTGCAGAAAGAGATAATTTTTTGCAATGTGGTCTAATAAAAGATATCATCTCTGAACCAAGGAGTTCTGCACTTCTACACGTGCGTGCGTGCACACACACACACACACACACACACACACACACACACACACAGCCTTATACCCTCTCCCTAGCCTGTAGGCTCTGCATTAAGCTTTCTATGATGGCAAGGTAGAAACTCTGTAATTAATATACAAATCTGGTAGCTCAGGAGCATGGACCATACTAGAACATACAGATAAAGCAGTGGTGGGCAATTATTTTGGGCAGAGGGATGCTTACCGAGTTTTGGCAAGCTGTTGAGGACCGCATTTCCCTCTCCGGCACAGGGAAGCAAGAACAGCTCCACAATCCCAGACTAGAAGTCTCTGCTAGGCAAGGGGCTTCTGGTTGGGAGGGGTGGGGCGGTCCTTGCTGCTGGCTTTTCCTAGGTCCTACTGCCCCTGGCTCCTGTCGTCTTTGACAGGCAGCCAGAAATAAATAAATATTCATTTTCTACATTTTTAGAGGCCCCATGGGCCAGATAGAATGGCCTGGCAGGCCAGATCCAGCCCCCAGGCCATGTTTTGCCTACCCCTGAGATAAAGGCAGCAGTGTAACTATGGGTAGGCAAGCAGGGCACCAGCCCCAGCCACCTATTTAGAGGGGGTACCAGAATGACAGCTTCAGACCAGCCTGCATTGCTGGTGTGTGGAGAAGCCAGGTAGCAGCAGTGGCAGCAGAAGCCTTCAGAGTCTGAGTCTGTAGCAAGACTCTCCCCACTCTGCAAGGCCCCCTTTGCCCTCCTAGGCACCAAAATTCCCAGTTATGCCTCTGGCTAAAGGTGTGGTCTGAGCATTAGAGGAGCTAAGCCTTGCCCATCAATAACACTGAAGTAATACTCATTCATTATTGCATAGAAACAAGGCCACATTAACGTGTTCATCAAGATTTTAGAAGATTTAAACTACCCTAAGGCAACTACTAAGCTGTGAAAGGTCTGGGCAACTGGCACCACCACCAAACTAAGAGGACAAACGTTCCTAGGAAAAAGCACCTCACTGTTCTCAGCCACAGTGGAAGCAATGGATACATTCCTTTTTTTTACTCTGGTACTGGAAAATAAAACTTTTTTTTTTTTTTTTTTTTTTTTTTTTTGTTTTTCACTTTT